TAGTAGGGATTACGGATTCCCTACGATCAACGCAAATGTTACTTTAAGACTGCGTGACTGCCTTTATCCTCAATGAAGTTACAGATTTGCTTGAGGGCAAAACCCTAGGCCAGATTAGCTAACAGTTATTACCGATTGCATCAATAGACTAACCCTAGGCCGGATTGCATCAATAGGCTAACCCTAGGCCAGATTACGTAACAGTTATTACGGATTACATCAATATGGTAACCTTAGGCCAGATTATATTTGTACTGATGCGACAGATCTCCTAACAGTTGTTACGGATTACATCAATATGGTATCCCTAGGGTTAGGGGAAAATTAAGGTCAAACATGGGGGTATTTTAGGGTTAGGGCTGAGGATTGTGGTAAGGATTTGGAAATTGTGGTAGGGGTAGAGAATGGGGGATAGGGTATGTAGTTTTACGGTTAGGGAAGGGGTTTGGGGTTAGGTCTTGGAATTTTAGGTTTAGGGAAGGGGTTTGGGGTTAGGGCTTGGAGTTTTATGGTTAGGGAAGGGGTTTGGGGTCAGGGTTTGGAGTTTTATGGTTAGGGAAAGGGTTTTGTGGTTATGGTTAAGTTTAGGAATCGGAAGTGGGTTGGGGGTTAGGACAGGAATAGGGTTGCAGTTGGGATTTAGGGTTAGGGCCTGGAGTTTGGAGTTATGGTTATGGTTTGGGTAAGGGTTAAGTTCAGGGACCGGAAGTGGGTTGGGGGTTAGGGTGGGAGTTTGGGGTTAGGAAGGGGGTTGAGGTAATGGTTTGGAGGCCCCCATGCTGCCTGAAATGCACTGTCCATCTAATACCAGCAACTTAACCAGGCCCCCATAAACTCTGAGGTATTAAGTGCCTCATCCCTGATCTTAAGGCCTGCTGACTCTCCCTTGTTCTTTCCTTTTAAGGGGCCGTGTCCTGGGTACGAGACTGTGCGTCACCTCCGACATGGTCATGTGTCGTTGAAGCCTACCCTTCAGGTTATCAGTTTGCGACCGAGGCGGTGTACTAACACTGGGCCTGCAATTAGAACAGGCCTGCGCTGGCACCCTAGGACAGGCGTCCGCCTGTGGTGGAGGTGGTGTAATGGTCCTAAAGACGGTTCTAAGGCGGGTCTGTATCACTGCCCTGAGGTTAGCGACCTGGCTGTGGCTAATGGTGTTTCTCTGTGTCCCCACAGGACTAGTCTGACTGCTGCCCCCTGCACTTCTACTAAGACTAAGTCTGGATCTGATGGAACATCAAGGTAAGTAGGTGTGGCCGTCCGTGGGCCTTTGGGAGTGGCCTGCTCCTTAGGGGCACTGGGCTGGATGTGAAATTGACCCTCTGGGGAGGGAATAAGGAGACCCAAAAGAGTCTCTAGGGGGCTCTCCATCGGTTCCTCTGACCCAGGGGATGTTTGTGCTGCCAGGTCTGTATGGGTAACCACCCTCTGTTTCCAGGTCAGGAGTTATAAGTTGAGACTGTGGACTCACCTCTGTGTGGACCATAGCCTCAGGAACCACCGTGTTGTCACCCCCACTTTGCCTGGGGGAAGATGGCTGTAAATCCCTTTGGGAGACTGGTTCCTCTGGGATGGCCACAGAGCCCTCAAAAGAGGCAGGCCATGCATCTCGCAGCATGTCCAACACCTCATCACATGTGGCTTGTTTAAGTCTTCTGCCCATGTCCCTTTTGGCCCATTTACTAGCTTGTTGGAAACATTCTTCCCAATTCTGGGGAGGGAAGTCATAGATCTGTAGCATCAGGGCATCATAGTAATGCTGATAAAGGACAGACATTGTGGTCTCGGCCCACTTCTTGGCATTATCCCTGATGAGGTTTTGTGTTTTGGGACTAGGTAGGGCAGGCTGGATAATGTCGGCCAGAAATTTTTCCAATTTATTAATGGCAGGGGGTGGGCCCCCTGCAATATTGAATCGGTGGTAGAGTAATTCTAATAAGTTTTAATATGCATCTAGTCCTGCGGACGAATTCCGGGTCACTGTGATGTTGGGGTTTGATGCCCTGCCTCCTATTTCTCTCCTTTTGCAGGTGCCTGACCACCTCCCGTGAATCACCTGTCTGCCTAGTGCGAGGCCTGGTATCAAGAGGTGCCCTCTGGGCGGTAAGTCTAGCGGGTCCTGTTCGGACCCGCGGATCAAAAAATTGTGGTCCATTTGACCATGAAGGACTATAACAGTAGGTATAGGTGCCTCTATCATCTGCACTGTATTTAATTGCGTCCGCATAGGAGCACTTTGCTCGTTGCTGCGTGTGGTATGGAGTCTGTCCATGTGGACGGAAGAAGGCCCTGTCTGGGCTTCGTTTGGTACGCCTGTGTCTCCGTGTAACCACCGTCCATCCCTCACTGTCCAGGAGTGGCATTGTTGTAAAACAGCAGGTAAGTAAATCAAAATATAAATATAAAAGCTAAGAAACTGAAATCAGTAGTCAGTGACTACAGGAAACTAATAACTTTTTCTTTTTCTCACCAACTGGTCAACAAAGGTAAGTATATTCGTCTGGATTCAACCAGGTAAGTACTAATAATTGAGTAAACTACAATTAGAGCAGTGTATTTAACAATAACTAAAATAAAAGGTCAATGAATAACTAATCTGCTCTTCTCTCTCCCCAACAGGTAAGCAATGATGATGGGTAAAAACTCAGGTACGTGAGGCCGTGAGGAGTAAGATTAAATGAGATTTAATAATGTTCTGCTGTTTTATTTCTCTACAGGAACCAGGACACCATGGGAATCACACACAGGTTAGTAAAGAAATCCTCTGGAACTCTACAGGTAAGTATAGTAAACAAATAAAATAAAATTGTTTTATATTAATAAAAAAGATGGGCAAGCCGTTGCGCAACGTTTCGGTCCACCCGGGACCTTCTTCAGGCGGGCTTGCTATAGATAATAAAGGAAGATTATTGCTCAAGGTACTAACCAAGCTAAGTGTTTTATAAAAATAAAAGTGAAGAAAATTAAATTTAAACTGTTGATTAAGTGTTGTTAATCAAACCTGGATATGGCAACTAGGAGGGCTTTGTAATGCCAGCAATGTTAGAGGCTTCCTTTCCCTGTAGTTGCCAATGTCCAACTGACAAATTGTGCCTTCAGTGCAGCACTCAGAGCCGCAGGGGCGGGACTTAGGTGCATCTTTCAAGGAGAGCCAATCAATGGCTCTGAAATTGCTTTTTGCACCAAAAAATTGTTCTAAATTAGTTTAATGGTTTGCAATGTATATATTAATATAATAATATTACATATTAATTATATAATTAATAAATCCAGTAGATTTTTTATATAGTTATTTATAAAATAATGTATAAAAATTGTCTTTTAATAAGAGCCAAACCCAGAAAGCCAGTAACCGCATATTTCAATTACACAAAACTAAATCAAAAATTATATGGCCAGAAATATCCATATGGAGCTTAAAGGAACTTGTTGTGGACAAGGGAGAAAGAAATTAAATTGTCCTTGGTCAAGTTTATGCTGGCATGAGGCACGGGCTGGTTAGGGGAAAATGAAGGTCAGACATGGGGGTATTTTAGGGTTAGGGCTGAGGATTGGGGTAAGGATTTGGAAATTGTGGTAAGGGTAGAGAATGGGGTGTAGAGTATGGAGTTTTAGGGTTAGGGAAGGGGTTTATAGTCTCCCTTACTTTGACTAATTGCATTTATTTCCATCACCTTCTCCTGGGGGGTGCTGCCTGGAGCCCTCAATCTATCAAGATGTCCAGCACACCCTGCAACATGTGACGTCGCCACGACCAATGATGACCGTGCATCCAGCTCGCCGTTCTGCCTGTGTCATCTTCCTTGTATGACCCGCTCCCTGCCTTCCGGCTGCCTGGCGATTGGAGGGAGTGGTGGCACCGGCTTGTCATCTCCCCCCTGCTCCCCGTTTGTGTTTCAGATTTAACTGTATTTGACTCTCCCTGCTGGCCCCTGGAGGGTGGGCTCCCCCTTTGAGTCTGGTCCCTCCCAAGGTTTCTTCCTTCTGGGGAGTTTTTCCTTGCCACTGTTGCCTATGGCTTACTCACTGGGCGCTTTGGATGGGGATGCTGTAAAGTGCTTTGGGACAATGTAATGTTGTGATAATGCGCTATACAAAAATAAATTTGTTGTTTGTGGTTAGGGCATGGAATTTTAGGTTTAGGGAAGGGGTTTGGGGTTATGGCTTGGAGTTTTATGGTTAGGGAAGGGGTTTGTGGTCAGGGTTTGTAGTTTTAGGATTAAGGAAATACTTTTGGGGTTAGGGTTAAGTTTAGGGATCGGAAGTGGGTTGGGGGTTAGGACAGGAATAGGGTTGGAGTTGGGATTTAGGGTTAGGGCCTGCAGTTTGTGGTTAGGGTTATGGTTTGGGTAAGGGTTACGTTTAGGGACCGGAGGTGGGTTGGGGGTTAGGGTGGGAGTTTGGGGTTAGGGGTTATGGTTAGATTTAAGACTGCGGTTATGGTTAGTGATTACAGTTAGGTTGCGGTATATAATATCTTAAAATACCATCATGGATGTTCTTAGTGCACTGGCTGCATTCAACCTTCATTAACTTTTTCCCTTTTTCTATTTTTATAGGTCCCTCTGGCAGAGATGCCCATACCCCCAGGCGAAGACGGCGAAAAGTCCCCAACGGCGGAAGCGGTGCCCCCTAGTGGTCTGGATTCCTCGTCGTCCTTCTTCGTCTCGTCGCCCCTGCAAAACAGGAAAAACAATTTAAAATTAAACCCTAATAAGGGATGACGGTTGTGTGCGCAAGCGGGTGGATGCAACGATTGACCCAGATTGGCCAGTGCATTCCTGTGACCCTGGGACGCTGTGGTCACAGACTATTATAACCATAACCGTAACTGTATCGCTGGGAGCGGAGGTGCAGGACTGTTCCTAGAAACAGGATTCATGATATTTAACCATAACCTTAACCATAACCAACGGATCTAACCCTTCTGCCTAACCGTAACCCTAAACCTAAGGACTCTAACCCTAAGGATAATTTAACCCTAGGGCCCTAACCCTAAATTTACTGGACCACAACGCTAACGGTGAAATAACCTTAGTTGTCGGATAATTTATAAAATTTTAGGCGGGTGATGCAATCCCCTATAAATAGGGCCGCTCCCCACTGAGTTCCCTCATTTCCCTCTGACCACCACAGAGGGAGGACATGGGACTCAGGGGTGGAAGAAAATCATTTATTGGCTGTCCATCGGGACAGGATGGTGCTGGATTGACCCTTGGGGGGTCTTAGAGGCTGGGAGGTGCCTCTGGGGGACACCAGGGATTGCGGGGATTCCACACAGGGGGGCGCTAATCCATCATATTATGGAAAGAAGTATAAAATTATAAAGGGGCAGCACCTGATAAAAGGGCATTAACTGGCAATTACCTACCTGTGTGCTCCTCCGTTGTCTTCGTCTTCCTCCGGGTTGGCTGCCTGGTCTTTGGATCCTTTTCTTGGTCTCTCCATTGCCGTCTTCTCCTGCAAAACACAAAAAATAGCAATTATTGTCACCATATCCAGGGGGTTATGTGTGGTGTAAGGGGGTGGATGTTGGACGGGGCCATTCAGGCCCATGCATAACGGTATTCCTGGGAGTGGGGGTGCGGGACTGTCTCCTGGAAACGGCAGTCAGGACATTTAACTATAACCCTAACCGTAACTGTATTTATATGAGGTTGAATGACCCACCTACATTTTTAATAATTTTCCTCCAACCAGGGTTGGAATTGCCCTTATGGTTGTGGTCCAGGTAAGTAAGGGTTAGGGCCCTAGGATTAAAATTACCCATAAGGTCATAGTCTTAAGGTTTGCAAAATGGTATGGGATGTGCTGATTGGGCATTGTTTTTCGCACTGGGGACATAAATGCGCAAATTATTCTCTGCTGGTGCAGTTTTTGTGGTAGTGTCTCGAGTACGCAGAGTATGCAACCCTTGACATGTAAGTACATTTATTTACAGTTTACTCTTTTACTCTATAGATTTTTATAATTCCGTGATTCAGCAAATTATAATTAACATCTGCTTTGGTAACAATTTTATTATGGTACATAGGGAAAAGTTCCGCATCGCCTTTGTCAAGCTTTGCGTGTGCAAAGTAATGCTTAGTGCTTTTGGCTTTTACTTGGACAAAGTTATGTGGGGCTTTGTTTGGGCAAAGTTATGTGGGGCACTTGTCGGCTTTGTTTAGGCAAAGTTATGTACGGTACTTGTCGGCTTTGTTTAGGCAAAGTTATGCGGGGCATTTGTCGGGTTTTGTTTGGGCTAAGTTATGCCTGGCACTTGTCACGCTTTGTTTGGGCAAAGTTATGCGGAGTTAGGGTTATGGTTAGAAACAAAATGTTTCTTATGACCCGTAAGTGGTAGTGCATTTAGAAAGAAAGACGCTATCCCAAAAAACACTGCTAGTTACACTGTGGCCAGTTTGGATAGGTTTTGGATAGGTCTTGGATAGGTTTTGGATATATTTGGCACAAGTCGTGTGAATAAAATATAGATTTTCCTCCAGATGTGTGGTGATGTGTGACAAAATGTTTCTTATGACCTGTAAGTGGTAATGCATTTAGAAATAAAGACACTATCCCAAAAAAACTGCTTGTTACACTGTGGCCATTTTGGATTGGTTTCAGATAGGTTTTGGATATGAAAGGCTCCCAGTCACACCATTTGTTCATTCCTCTGTAAAACCTGTTCTGCTACATCAAATGACATGAAGTTGGGCACACATGTAGAAAACAAGTTAGGGAACCACATATTGAAAATTGGACCTAATCCATCATGTACTTCTTTAAAATATTTGCAAAAATCCAAGACACAAAGACAGGTTTTTGTATTTTTCCAGCTGTTTTTGTTATATTCTCATGTCCATAAATTATACAGTTATTCATTTTGGTTATTGAGCTTCCAACAATTGATTGTAAAGGGGTCAGCTTTGATTTTAGGTATCAGACATGTGTCTGTGACTTTTACATCTCTAGTTATAAGGTAATTAATCCAAAGAGGGAAGTAATGCCCCCTGCAATGGGCCCCCTGCAAAGGGGCCCCTGGTGCACCCCATAGAGTTAACCTGTAATTTAAAATTAAGCATTTTAAATAAGCAACTTTCCACTTAATGCATAAAGCAATGAAATGCACTGTGAAGTATATGCAATCAAATGTGCTTCTGTACAGATGGTCAATCGTTGTTCGGAAATGTTTTTGATTTCTAGATCTAATTGACAATGACGAGGAAGCCGCAGGCTTGCCCCCTCTGCGCTATCTTAACGTGTCAGTCCACCTGCGTGATGTCCACCGGGTGGACAGCACAAAGGAGAGGAGGCTGCTTTATGCGGCACTGTCGGGCAGGTATGCTGGGCCACTGAATTGTCCAGTGGCCCACTGCCTGTCCACGAACTTGGTGAGGCTGGACCGCCATTTGCGGGTCCGGCACAACCTGGAGGGCGATGAATTGAAAAATCAGGTATTCCATTCCATTAAATTCATTTGTATCTGTTCAGGTTTCTATAGCACTTCATTGTGTCAGCATTTCACATGATCATCTCTTGCTGGAAACCTAGGTGACCGCCGCAAAAAAGATTGCAGCGAGGCAGTCCCTGCAGGAGTTCAGAGCAAAACGCTCTGAGGAAAGCGATGAGCTGACGCTGCTGAAACAGAGTGTCCACCAATTGGAGGAGCAGGCGGCTCACTGCTCGCGGCACCACCACGCAGCTTCGTCGCCACAGGTGGCCTCGGTGCTTTTCTCCAGTAATAATAATAGTAATAATAATTACAATTGCAATGTCATAATAAAGCTCATAAGACTTGACAGATGCATGTCAGTTTTTTTCATGTCTTGTCTTGTATGTTAGTCAACGCAGTTGTTGCTGGTGTGATTACACGGTGTAACTGTAATTTTCTGCTTTTCTTTTATTACTTTTAGGCTCTGTCATCTCAAAGTACAAGGAGAATGTGTTCCGGGTCGGCTCGTCTGGGAAATGTTCCCAAAATCAGCAGCAAGAGCTGAAATATATAAAAAACTTTGTGTTTTACATGTGGGGTAATGACGAGGCCCCATCTCCCGCCACCAAAATTATTGGGCACAGACAGCTGGTAAAAGAGAACAAGAGCCAGAGGATGCCGACCCGGGACAACCTGGCTGAGCTGGCGACGGAGCTGCATTCCCGGATCCCCGACTGCCTGGGTAAGTGAAAACCCCATTCATTTTACAGACGGCAGTTTCCTGTCAACATCACACTCACGTTTTTCTATTTCACTTACAGATGCCCTAGTAGCCTGCCCTGACAGCATTAGGACCAGGAACAAATGCATAGGTGCTCTTGCCACCTATGCACTTGTCAACAGTGGCCACCGCAGCAGCGTCCTGATCAACATGTTGGTCAGGGAGGTCACTGAGGCACAGGCAGTCGGAGACCACGTTGTGATTCACGTGAGTGCCTGATAACTTGCTCATGTTGTGATCGTGTCTGAGTTCTGTAAAAAGTTTCACGCAAACTGTGTTGTGTCTCACACGTGCCCAGACACGGACCCGACCGCGTTCGTTAACTCGTTGTCTTCCCTTCACAGGTGAGGGATCGCAAGACGTCAGGCACCTTCGGCAGGGCAAACCTGGCCCTGTCAAAGGAGTACGGCTGGTTTATTGCTTTTGCAAACCTACGTCCTCAGCTGCCCGGCTTCTCGTCTGCCACCGGGACCTTCTTTTTTACCTCGTCAGGGCAGCCAATGAGAAAGTTGAATGACATGGTAAAGGAGATGTGCCTGGAGTGTGGCATGCCACAGCCGTTCAGCATCTCTAAGATTAGATCTTAGATCGAGGAGGTGGGCACCAGTGGATCACCTTGTGATCCCTCACCTGTGCACGACGGCGACTGTGGCGAGGGTCGGGAAGAGACCGCTGGGGGGCAGGTGCTGCCCCCAGCAGATCATGGAGAAGGTGACATGTTCTGTGGAGGAAAACACAAGTCAATTACTAAAGCGAGTGAACAGTGATGTTGAGGCTAAAATAACATATTTATTTCCAACAGCTAACAGTGTCACAATGGCTGTTGGTGGTGGCCAAGAAGGCCAATCCTCTCCAGTCGAGAGTGAACTGGAGCAGTCAGTGTTGGGGCTGCAGCTGGAGGAGGAGGAAGAGGAGTAGCATTGTGAAGTAAGTTTAACCAGTTAATAATTTTGGCAATTAAAAGTATAATAATTTGTGCAAACAGAAATGTGTATATATATATGTCTGAAGCTAAAAACATATTTTTCTTTGTCACAGTTTCCCAGTCCTCTGCCAAAGGCAGTAGCTCATTCAAAGGTAATGCCAAGGCATTTTATTTAACTTTTTAAACGTCTGGGAAATTTCTGTCTCTGTGGTAACGTGCAGTGATCAAAGACATGTCATATTTTTAAAAATATCTCATAAGATACTTTATAGGAGGAAGCTGCAATACCCTGACTGCTTCAAAGAGCTTCTGAGAAATGAATTTAAAGAACACCTTCATTCCCCAGTAAAAATGCAAACGGTTAGTATGCTGTCAATTAATGCCACCTATTATATATATATTTTAAATTTTAAACATAAATTGAAACATAATACTGTCTTTTCAGATAAACACTGTTTTAAGTCAGTCCCCTGACTTTTAAATAAATGTAAAGCAATGGAGCTGACAATTGACAATGTAAGGGGACTGCTAAAACAATAGCAACGGTAAGCCACATTTAAGATGGTAATGGTACTACTACTTCTTTAATGTTGTGCTTGCTGTTGCTTATCATTGTTTTGTACTTTTCTACATTTCAGACGAGTCACTAAAGATATCTGGGGGGTATTCCAGAAAGCAGGTTATGTGACATACCCGGGTAAGTTTAAGGGTAAGTTAGT